AGAGCGAGAGAGAGAGAGACACACAGAGTGAGAGACAGAGAGAGAGCCCCACACACACAGACAGAGAGAGTGAGACAGACAGAGAGATTGAGAGAGACAGAGAGAGAGACAGAGAGAGTGACAGAGAGAGACAGACAGAGAGAGAGACACACAAACAGAGAGACAGAGAGAGTGACAGAGAGAGACAGACAGAGAGAGACAGATAGAGAGACACACACAGAGAGAGAGACAGAGAGACACACACACACACACACAGAGACACAAAGAAGGAGACAAGAGAGACAGAGAGAGAGACAGAGACAGAGAAACAGACAGACCGCACAGGGACAGAGAGACAGACACAAAAGAGCGAGAGAGAGAGAGACACACACAGAGTGAGAGACAGAGAGAGAGCCCCACACACAGACAGAGAGAGTGAGACAGACAGAGAGATTGAGAGAGACAGAGAGAGTGACAGAGAGAGACAGACAGAGAGAGAGAGACACACAGACAGAGAGATTGAGAGAGACAGAGAGAGGGTGACAGAGAGAGACAGACAGAGAGAGAGACAGATAGAGAGACACACACAGAGAAACACAGAGAGAGACAGAAAGACACACACACACACAGAGAGACACAGAGAAAGAGACAGACAGAGAGAGAGACAGAGACAGAGAAACAGACAGACCGCACAGGGACAGAGAGACAGACACAAAAGAGCGAGAGAGAGAGAGACACACACAGAGTGAGAGACAGAGAGAGAGCCCCACACACACAGACAGAGAGAGTGACAGAGAGAGACAGACAGAGAGAGACAGACACACAGACAGAGAGATTGAGAGAGACAGAGAGAGTGACAGAGAGAGACAGACATAGAGAGAGACACACACAGCGACAGAGAGACAGACACACACAGAGACAGATAGAGAGACACATAGAGAGACAGAGAGACAGACACACACAGAGACAGATAGAGAGACACATAGAGAGACAGAGAGACAGACACACACAGAGACAGATAGAGAGACAGAGAGACAGACACACACAGAGACAGATAGAGAGACATATAGAGAGACAGAGAGACAGACACACACAGAGACAGACACAGAGAGAGAGTTCTGAAGCAGCTCCAGGATCAGAGTGCGGCTGTGGCAGAGGCTGTGGCAGAGGCTGTGGCAGAGGCTGTGGCAGAGGCTGTGGCAGAGGCTGTGGCAGAGGCTGTGGCAGAGGCTGTGGAGGCTCCAGCTTCATGTGAACATGTTTGACAGTAATCTGAGCCCAAGGCAGCTCTGACATACAACTGCTCAAATAAAGACTTTAAACATCTCTGCTAGAGTACTGTTTACGATAAGATACACTTTATTGATCTCATAATGGAGAAATGTACATGTCACAGTTGGCTTAAGTAGTGTGGTAAACAGTGACCTATGTACTGCACAGGTGGACAAATGCAAGACAAAATAGTATTAATAACCTGGCCTTGTGGAGGTCTCAAGGACCACAGAGACTTTCGTTGTTTAGGCTATTTGTGCCGAAGGTTTGGCCTTTTCTATGATGACGTAGATTTCCATATATAATGTATCTGTGTCTTTTGTTCTGCCTGAAAATTAACGACCATTTTGTGAATAAACCAGCCAGGAGGCTTTGTCGTACAAAGATCCCAATTTGCATGAGTCTGATTCCTATCAGGTGGTGGAGAATGCGGCGCTGAATGCGACTCTGCCTCGGCTGTTGTGAGAAAGTTTTTTTTCAGCGTGTGAGAGCTGAGAGCATCTGGATTTGGGTACTATCTACCAAGCTGGAGAGGTGACGATTCCGGGGCTTTTTTGCTCTCTCACTATATTTTTTTGTGTCCTCTTTTTTGGACTGACAAAGCGTTTAAATTTGTTTTTCCATGTCCATATTCCAGGGATTTCTGACGGGTGATTGGTCTCTGCCGATGGAAGCTAGTTCCCGGTACTAGTGAGCGCTGGTTCATGATCTGGAGACCTGGTTGGACGTGGAAAGGCTGATATTTGGTGGACTTTTGACGGTACCTGGGCCCTGTTCGACAAAAGGTAAGAGCGGACACCTGTTTATTCAAAGTCTGCTAATTGAGTGAACTAAATTATGGTCTGTTTAGAGGTCTGCCAAATGTCTAATATCTATAGATAAGATTAAAAACAGGTTCGCTACCTGATAAGTGTTGGCCATAAGTGAAGGATCCATAAAGTGTTGGCCATAAGTGAAGGATCCATAAAGTGTTGGCCATAAGTGAAGGATCCATAAAGTGTTGGCCATAAGTGAAGGATCCATAAAGTGTTGGCCATAAGTGAAGGATCCATAAAGTGTTGGCCATAAGTGAAGGATCCATAAAGTGTTGGCCATAAGTGAAGGATCCATAAAGTGTTGGCCATAAGTGAAGGATCCATAAAGTGTTGGCCATAAGTGAAGGATGCATAAAGTGTTGGCCATAAGTGAAGGATCCATAAAGTGTTGGCCATAAGTGAAGGATCCATAAAGTGTTGGCCATAAGTGAAGGATCCATAAAGTGTTGGCCATAAAGTGTATAGGATCCATAAGTGAAACCATGGTATAAAAATAAAAAATAAAATAAAAAAAGGTAGTAAAAACGAGTGCAGGGACCTTTGTTGCAAAAGTCTTGAAGTTGGCTAATTTCAGGTTTAATGAGTGACAAAAGTAAAAGCAATACCATCTGCTAAATATCAGTAATCACAGTTTAAAACTGCATATAGAAAAAGGGAGTTTTTGGATTTTGTGCCTGGACAGAGCTCACCAGAAGATGCAGAGTTTTATTTCCAGCTAAACTTTTGTATATGCATTTTGGTTTCGGTTCAGATAGTATTCAACATTTTTAAGAAAAGCCCTTTGAAGCTAAACAAGTTTTCAAATCTTGCTGTTACGTATTTTTTATTGCCCTCTGGGAGTGTGTGTGACTGCGCGCTCTCACACGGCAACCTGTTTCGGGTCTAAAAATAGACACTGCATGCAGATGAGCAGTTTGTCTTCTCTCTCATCTTCTCCTGTTAAATTTGTGTAAATTAGAGTTTAAATTTTGGGTTTTAGAAAGCTTTAAACTCAACAGATTTGGCTTGTTCATTTTTATTTTTATCGTATGTTTATTTTTCATAGTTGTAGAACTAAGAACGCTTCACCATATTCTTTGAATTTCTCGCTCTAATCTTGCTTTTACTTTTGCATTGCTGTTATATCGTTTAAATTGGTTGTAAGAGTTTGTATGATTCCTATGTCCTCCCATTACAAAAACACATAGTTGAAATAATTAAGATAGCTTGTTAAAAGTGCATGAATATTGACTTTTTAGTCTGAAAGAATATTGGTAAATAACAGCAATGCATTAAATCTTTAAATTTTTCCCCTTTTCGCTTGGTTGTGGGAATTCTTGCATGCGTTTTATCAAAGTCCAGCCGTGAGCGCGTGGGAGTGCGAGCACGGCTCCAAAACACCTGCCGCTTCTCAAAATACAATAATCTGTTTCTATTCGTTTGTGTGCATCTAAAAAAACGTGTTCACTTACATATTCCATTTTATTTTTATTATTAATTTTATTTTTTTCTTGTTTTTAACTCAAAATTTTAGAATTTATTTTTTGTAATCTGGCAATTCTTGAAATATACAGTTTGCATTTGGCTACATTTTTGGCTCACTGTGTCAAAAATATATTTTTGTGAGCGATAATTCGAACTGTTTAAAAAAAAAAAAAAAATAGAATATCAAGTTATTTCTGCTATTATTCTGTGCCCGAACTGTTGGTATTTCTCTGTCGGCTGTTTCTCTTTCTGCACTTCAGCTATTTTTATTATCTGTAGATACAAGGCTTTACAAATTATTTTTCTGCATTCATTTATGGTTTTTAGAATTCAAAGCATTGAGTTAGAAAAGTAAACGCTACAGTTTATTTAAAAGTACTCTGGCATCTTCTGGTTAGGTTTGTTTTGAGAAAGTATGGTCCAGGCCAAAATTGCATTGCCGTACGGCATCAGAGTTTTATTTTTATTCTTTCATTTTTGATTTGTTTTCATTTTATGTTTAAACACAGTTGAACAATAATTGCTAATCTAAATGTTGAAGTGGGTAGAATATAGAACCTAAATTGCTTTTTGACTTTAATCCCCAAAACTGTTGAATCTTTAGTCATTTTGTTTTGTTTTGGCTTCCATAATAAAACAGCTCTTTTCCGCGGGTGCATTTTCTACACAAAGCACATTTGTATTTTCCACATTTTCAAAGATCAGTGTAGAATAAAAAAATAATAATTGAATAAAAATAAGTGTATTTTCTACTTTGAGACTTAATAACCTTTATTTTGCATAAATTCCAGTTTCAATACTGTTACATTCAAATAAACAAATGCAAATACAAGGAGCATTTATTAGCATTTGGTTTATCAAATAACGGGAATAGTTGTTTTGTTTTGTTTTAAAAGCGAATAATATCAGTGCGCGTCGGTCAGTTTGTTTGCGTTTTGTGTTGACCATACCCATACAAAATCCAGTCTAGCTGGGCTCTATTCTATTTTATTTTATTTTATATAGTTGAATTTTGTTTTTTACAAATAATACACATTTTGGTTTTTGTCTGTTTGATTTCCAGTCACAATTTGAGTCAACATTTCCCGTTCAATTAAGTTTTGGTCCCCAAAAACAGTGTACTTGGAAACCATATTTTCTTTTATTTTACATTGTATTTTTTTTTTTTTATTTTTGTTCTGGATTTTGGATTTTTTTATTTAATTTTTAACTTTTCATTTGTTTTGTTTATTATTATTTATTTTATTTTTCTCCACCTTTTGCCTTGGTGTTGAGTTTATTTTGGCATCCTTTTTATTTTCACTCTTTATTTTATTTTATTTTACGTTATTTTATTTTGATTTCTGCAAAAAAAAAAAAAAAAAAAAAACAATGTCTTTCATGAAGATGGACACATTTCTGAGGGAGGCGGAGCATTACATACACATCAAGGAAGAGCCATTAAAGGAAGAACAAAGAAAGATTTTACTGATGAAGAAGCTGTTCAAAAAGTATGCAGCGAAGAAACTAATTTCTCGTGGCGAAGATGCCCTGGCTCCGACCAAAAAGCAATGGGAAAACATTTCACAATATCACCAAGGCAAAGTATTGCATCATCGCACCCATCCAGTACTCACCAGAAGAGGCTACGTGACTGATGAAGCAAAGATCAGGAAGCATGAGGAGCTGAAGAACTTCGCATTGGAGCTGTATGACATTGCAAAGAAGATTGCCGAAAAATGTGAAGAACGAAAAATGACACGTATCCTTGTCCTGAAGGAGGGCACTCAAGAGGATCAACCATACAAGCAGAGAAAGAAGTCGGTGACGCTGAAAACTCAGGAGGCACATTCTGCAGACCCAGGACGCCTCAGGTCTGGTACCGTGTACAAGGACCTCCATGATGATACGGAGGAGGAGTGTGATGTTGAAGCTACTCAGAGAAGAAGAATTAAAGGAAAAATGCTCATGAGGGAGACCCAGACGCCCCTTCCACGGATAAATGATGAACTTCTGTACCCGGCTTCCGAGCCTGAAGACATGGAAGCATATCACAAGGAGAAGCACAGCTACAAGCAACTGAGCAGGTCACTAAAGGACTTGAGTACCCAGTATTCATCGTCAACTCCATGTTCCCCCCCCTCGTTTCAAGAGATCTGCAAGACCAGAATACACACAAGTGGAACTCCCAAAAGCCACAGCCCAAGAAGATTTCCCAGAACCAGTTGAACACACAGTGTTGGGTGGCACCCTCTCTATGGTTCCATCCAGAGGCGATCGTGAAGATGTGCAAGAACTAGCGAAACAAGTCAAGACACTGACAGCACTGGTCAGTCAACAAGCACAAAGTGTTCACAACCAAACCTCTGAAGAAGATGAACATGAAGAAGTGGGAATTCCTCAACTGCGGAAAAAAGAAGAAGAAATATGGAGGAAGTCAAAGACCAAGACAATGCAAAACATGAACAAAGAAAAAGAAGAACTCATTTGTTTAATGGACAAAGAACCAAAGCACACCCAAACCAGTCGTGAAATGCATATAAGAAGAGGCATAGAGAACCGACTGAGGACAGGCCACAACCCCTTCCGTCCAGAGACAAGAGACCACTATGTCGCAGGGGAGTTTACCGGCCTGGTCGAAGACCAACAGCATGAGGGAGCCTTCGTGAGTGGGCATGTCAACCCATTTTTTGACCCAAATCACTCACTGCTAGAAGAAGATGAAGCGGGAAGAGCAACAACCTCTCTCTTTCCACTAAGAGAGGCTGCGGGTCGCCAGCAAGTGTATCAGCCATTTGCATTGAAAGATATTGAAGGACTAATGCTGAAATTGCCAAAGCTGACAAAAGGAGCACCTGCATTTATGAGGGCACTGACGACGCACACAGCTGGTGAAATATTGTGCTGGGGAGACGTCTCTTCTATAATCACCAGAAATACTGATGAAGCCACTACCAAGAAAGTACGGGCGGAGCTAATAAAACGCATTGGACCATTCAACCATACCCTGTCCTTTACCACCATGAAAGGACCACTGCTGTCAATTCTGAGAGAAATGTTTCAAACATGCGTTCCAGAAGAATTACTTTCGCTGAAGATGAAAGAAGATGAAGAGTACTTTGAGTACAAGCGCAGAGCCAAGGCCTTATTCTATGATGCAACTGGGGAAGCAGTGCAACCAGGAACAACAAGTACATTCATCCTGTTCAACACAATGGTCAAAGGAATGCCAAAACCAGTACAACAAAGTCTTTCTCATGTTGTTGGACTGTACACACTGACCGAAGAAGACTTTGATAAAAACTGCAACCACTATGTGACCCTCTATCGAAATGAAAGAGAGAATAATAAAGAAGAAACACAAAAAGTGGAGGTGTCTAACATCAAGCTACAAAACAAGAAACTTAAAGAAGAGGCGGAAGCACAAAAGAGTAAAAACAAGGCCGCAAATGTGATGAAAGTTGGAGTGGACGGATCACAGGTCAATGTTGAGGACAATGACCAGAATCAAAAAGGAAAAGAGCAAGCTGAACAGATGGTGGACGTTGTAAAGCTCCTTTTGACACAGAGACCGGCTCAGAGAGGATACAGGGGGAACTCCAGAGGAAGGAGTAGAGGGAGAGGATTTCAAGGACAAAGAGGCAATCGTCAAATATCTGGAGATCAATGCTTGATATGCCACCAATATGGACACTGGGCAAACACATGCCCTAACAAGTGGTACGAGAACCCACCCCGGAACCAATTTAATGGCCGGCGACGAAACCAACCGCAATTCTCCGGACCCTACAACGGAGAGCAGCAGATGTGGACGCCCAATGACATGCCACAGCCCCCACCCCCGCCTGAACAAAACATGAGTATGCGTGGAAACTCGTACACACAGTACCAGGATGGGCCTGGAGGCTCTTATTGACGGGGCCAACAGCAAGAGAGCCACTCACTCCACAACTGGCGGAGTGAGCCAATGGTGGTCCTCGAGGTGAATGGACGAGAGATCAAGTTCATGGTCGACTCTGGTGCAACTGTGTCATGCATCACACACAAGTTTCCACTGTCCTCTGAATCAATGTCCATCTCTGGCTGTGTGGGGAAACCTGAAAGCAAACCATTTACTGTTCCATTGGAAGTAAAATCACACCATGAAACTGTGCATCACTCTTTTTTGTATCTACCAAACTGTGGCATCTCTCTGTGTGGCCGTGAACTGATGTGCAAGTTGTCCTTCTCCCTATTCTTCTGCCCTGAAGGATACAAACTCATGAACAAGCCTGAAACATTGCAACTAATACGGTCTTGGGAGAAAAACAAGCATGCACAGATATTGTATCTCTCACCAGATGTCGCAGAAGATCTGAAGACACCTATCGATATCTACTGGCTTCAAGTACTGACGGATCCAGAGCATGGTAATACAGCCTCAACACTCTGGCAACGATACAAGCTATGGGCAAAATCCAATTTCCCCTTGAGAGAACCGTTTGACCCACTGCATGCCACGCTGTACTGTACCACTCAAGAAGATGAGAGTTATGAAGAATTGTGGGACAATGTGCAAGGGCAAACATTCCATGTAACATACCCATACATCTACTGTGGTCCCAAAGGCATGGCCCTGTCTGTGACTCTTCCAGATGAAGTGAAGCCCTATTATGTCGAAACAACCGACATGGACCCACATGTGACGTTGGCCGTTTCCAAGTACCATACTGCAAAGTCCCTTGGATCAATGGTGAAGTTGGCAAACACTTTGATATATGCACCAACCGACAACCCTGGAGTGTCCTACAATGGACAACATGGCATTTTCAGGATCACACTGCCAGACGGGTCAACGGACATAACCAGAGCTTTGAAGGAATCGCGTCACAGAACTTTTGAAAATCACCCAGACGCTCAACGATACTTGGATGCAGTCCCAGCTAACATATGGATGACACATGCCAAGATGTGGGATGCACATCGCATGTTGTGAAAGTCAAACTGACAACTGACACTCCAGTATACAGAGCACAATACCCCTTGAAACAAGAACAAGTGCAAGGGATCGCACAAACCATTGAAGGACTGCTGAAAGCAGGTGTTATAAGAGGAACTACATCAGAGTATAACACCCCACTATTTCCAGTGAAGAAGTCAGATTTGAAGAACTGGCGCATGGTCCAAGACTTCAGACCCCTAAATGAAGTAACAGCTGATGAATCGTACCCTGTTCCAGACCCATACATCGCACTGAACAACCTTTCTCCGAACGACAAGTACTTCACAGTAATTGATCTGGCCAACGCCTTCTTCACAATCAAACTGCATCCAAAATCTCAGAAGTACTTTGCCTTCACCGTGAAGGGGAGACAATACACTTACTGTCGGATGCCCCAAGGATGGAAACTGTCCCCCGGGTACTTCAACCATTTCCTACGTCTGGATCTGGCTGAGTTTAACCTTCCTGAGAAGTGCACTCTCATACAATATGTGGATGATCTGGCTATTTCAGGACCAGATGCAAGGTCCGTTTTACAAGCATCCACTGATCTGCTCACACACCTGGCAAGAAAAGGCTATAAAGTGAAGCGGGAGAAAATCCAAATGTGTCGAAGATCTGTGTACTTCTTGGGAAGAGAGGTTTCTGCAGTTGGACAGGGAGTCTCCACACTCCCTGGCCATGTTGATGGCCACATCAACATGGCCATGCATATGATCAATGACTCTGAAAGCAACAGCACGGACCATATCTGTGAAGAACTGGCGAAGACTGAACTATATGTAAGAGCTGATCTTCAATTTGAGCCAATTCCAAATGCTGAAATGACACTCTTCTGCGATGGCTGCTCATACAGAGCGCAAACTGGAGAAACCATCTCAACATACGCTGTCGTCTCACAAAAGGAAAATGGAGAGCACAGAGTATTGGAAGCAAGACAAGTCTCAGACTCCAACAAAGATGCAATTCTGAAGACACCAAAACCAAAAACGGTGCGACAAATGCTGAGTTTTCTCGGACTTTGCAACTACAGTCGAGAATATGTACCCAACTATACCGCAATGACTGCACCTCTAAGAGAACTGATCAAACCCCATGGCATGAACCAACCAACTGCAAGTTTAACTTGGACAAAACAATCATGAAGACAGCACATCTGGTCCAAAACCACCCTCTTGTGGTACACACAAACCATGGGATCCAAGCATACTTGAACTCAAAACTGTTCATCACCACAGCCCAAAGAACTGCCAACATCACTCAGACGCTTCGTCAACCTCACATCACCTATGCCAGTGGAAACATCAACATGGCCATGCATATGATCAATGACTCTGAAAGCAACAGCACGGACCATATCTGTGAAGAACTGGCGAAGACTGAACTATATGTAAGAGCTGATCTTCAATTTGAGCCAATTCCAAATGCTGAAATGACACTCTTCTGCGATGGCTGCTCATACAGAGCGCAAACTGGAGAAACCATCTCAACATACGCTGTCGTCTCACAAAAGGAAAATGGAGAGCACAGAGTATTGGAAGCAAGACAAGTCTCAGACTCCAACAAAGATGCAATTCTGAAGACACCAAAACCAAAAACGGTGCGACAAATGCTGAGTTTTCTCGGACTTTGCAACTACAGTCGAGAATATGTACCCAACTATACCGCAATGACTGCACCTCTAAGAGAACTGATCAAACCCCATGGCATGAACCAACCAACTGCAAGTTTAACTTGGACCACGGAAGCAGAAAACTCCTTTACAAGAACAAAGCAAGCCGTCTGTAACGCCTGTGCACTGTATGTGCCAGACTACACACTGCCGTTTCATCTTGATGTGGCTGAATCACAATTCTATGTCTATGGAATATTGTATCAGAAGAAAAAAGGAGAAAGAAGAGTTCTGAAACACTACTCTTGCAAACTTGATCCACACGACCAAGCCCAACCTGGATGTGCAAGATATCTGGCAGCATTGACCAAAACAATCATGAAGACAGCACATCTGGTCCAAAACCACCCTCTTGTGGTACACACAAACCATGGGATCCAAGCATACTTGAACTCAAAACTGTTCATCACCACAGCCCAAAGAACTGCCAACATCACTCAGACGCTTCGTCAACCTCACATCACCTATGCCAGTGGAAACATCAACATGGCCATGCATATGATCAATGACTCTGAAAGCAACAGCACGGACCATATCTGTGAAGAACTGGCGAAGACTGAACTATATGTAAGAGCTGATCTTCAATTTGAGCCAATTCCAAATGCTGAAATGACACTCTTCTGCGATGGCTGCTCATACAGAGCGCAAACTGGAGAAACCATCTCAACATACGCTGTCGTCTCACAAAAGGAAAATGGAGAGCACAGAGTATTGGAAGCAAGACAAGTGGAGCAAGGATCTGCTCAAGTGGCTGAACTTACAGGTCTGCTGCGAGCACTGCAACTCGCCAGTGGACGGACTGCGAACATCTATACCGACTCGGCATATGCTTACAGGACATTGACAATCTCAATTCCTGGATGGATAAGAAATGGCTTCAAACTGATAAATGGACTGCCGGTAAAACATGAAGTTCTTGTGAGACATCTGATTGATGCAGTGAACCTACCAAGCAAACTGGCCATCATGAAATGCAGAGCACATACACAAGGAGAAGACATGATCTCCAAAGGAAACCAAGCTGCGGACCAAGCTGCAAAAAAGGCTGCCAACTACATGAAAAGAACAATGATCGTACAACAGAAACCAGAAAAACCCAAAGAAGTTCAAGAAGAAGAGGAAACTCAAAAAGCTCAAGACAAAGAAAAACCCAAAAAAGTTCAAGAAGAAGAGGAAACGCAAAACGCTCAAGAAGACAAAGAACAGACCAAAGAATCAAAGAAGAAGAAGAAGAAGACAAAAAATCAAGAGTTGAACACACAATCACATTTAATCGATCTCCAATATGTGAAAGAACTTCAAAACGCAGCTGGGGCATATGAACAACATCAATGGAAACTAAAAGGAGCAACAAAAGGAGAAGAAGGCCTCTGGAGAAACCACGATGGTCGTATTGCGGCACCCGCCGCACTTATACAAATGTTGTTTGAAGAATACCACAGCCCGCTGCACAGAAGCGTCAACTCTATGATTCGTCTCATGGAACCATGGTGGCATCCAAATATGAAAGAAATGCTTCAATATCGAATCAACAATTGCCACACTTGTCAAACCATGAATCCCAAGAAGACTTGCAAACCCCCACCTGGCACTTTCATCATGCCCAATTCGCCCTTTGAAAAAATTGTCATGGACTTTACAGACATGGGTCCTGACAGGTGTGTTAGAGGTTTTCGATATCTTTTAGTTATCGTTTGCGAATATACTAAGTGGGTAGAAGCCTTTCCGTGTCGAACCGAAACTGCGGCAGAAGTTGTAAAACATCTAATGCGTGATGTAATCTGTAGATTCGGCTGCCCTTATCAGATCAGATCTGATAATGGCAGACATTTTACAGCTAAGATTGTGCGTGACGTGTTGAAAACTCTCGGGATTTCACAAAAATTTGGTTGTGTTTACCATCCAAAATCTCAGGGTCAAGTTGAACGCATGAATGCAACCATCAAACGTAAGCTAGCTAAGGTTTGGCAGACTTCAAAACTTGACTGGGTCACTGCTCTTCCTCTTGTGCTGATGGACATCAGGAATAGCGTGAACAAGTCAACAAGTTACTCTCCACACATGTTATTGACTGGGAGAGAAATGCACAGGCCGATTGGTCCACTCAATGCTGAAGCCCCCTTTGTCGAATGGGACTGGATTCACCAGCAATATTTGTCTGAGCTCAGGACAACTGTTTCCCAGTTGTCCGAGTGCAGACGACAAACTAACCAATTGAGACAAACAGATGAGATCGACCCCATTGTTAAACCTGGTGATTGGA